ATCACCCATGACCCAGGACCCTTCAGTCCACAGGCCAACGCTCTATCCACTGAGCCAAAATGGTTAAGACTCTATGGCTCTTTTATACCACAATAATGAACTCACAGAAAGAGAAACTAAAAAAAAAAAAAAAAATCCCACAAAAAACAAACAAACAAACTTTTCTTCCCATCTTCTAACTTTCCCTGGGCTGGGCTAATAATTAAATTAACAGATTAACAGGAGAAAATCAAGTTTTAATACATGCATAGGGAGAATTCACATAGGCAAGAAATTCCAAAGATGGCGAGGCTCCATGGGTTATATAAGTCATGTGGACAAAGGAGAAAAGGAGGAGAATGAGGTGTTAGATTTCAGAAACGAGAATGGGCAATTTACAGGTGGTTGAGGGAGAGTTGAACACACATGGCAGGAGAATTCTTGCTAGGCGACTCAGAAAAAAATGGACACATCAGGTATCTGCCTACCAGGCCCCTGTCTGAAGACCTCTATTCACCACAGTTAATTCAGGCTAAGGCGACCTCCTAAGCTCTCCTTTCTCTATCTGACTCTCTTGGGCAGGAAAGGGGGGTGGTGACCTAGAGACAATACATTTGCAGTGTCACTTGGATGGGAGGACAAAGGTTCCCTCTGAGTCTGGTTTCTTAATAAACAGCTTAAAACCAATATCCGGAAAAAAACAAAGCCAGCTTCAGGGTGGTGACTGGGGTGGCGACTGGTTCCCTTCATCTCCCTTTCCGAGTGGCATGCAGGTGTGCTGCCTGAGTCGGCCGTGGCCGACGACGCTGGGAAGCTCTGGTGCTGAGCAAAACCAGGAAGGCCCCCTTCCCTTGCACATGGTTGGGGTGAGGCTGGGGAAGGTGGGCTTGCTGGCCTGCAGCACAGTCTAAGCTTGGCTGACGATGGTTAGAGGCCAGGAAGCGAGGCCTCCTGGATGGAGGTGATACAGCCAAGGCAGGTCCCCTCCACCACCCACACTGACCCCCACAAACACGAGTGGCCTGCTTCCAGTTCAGCCAACCTCCTTGCTGCTGAAGTTGGGGAAGTTATCATTTCCTCTGCATCCCAATTCAAGTTCCTGACCAATTCATTCATTTGTGTGTGTGTGTGTGTCCCCCTCCCCAATTAAGTCAATGACTGAGCACTTATATGCATGTACAGTATTCATATGCATGTACGTATAGGCGAACCTCTGGGGGATGCAGAAAAGAGTAAAATAAAGTTCCTTTTGTCAAAGGATTGCTATGCATCTTGAAGGCAATGTCTTGCATGTTTCCTTCCTGTGCTGTGAGAGCCACCTTGCCTGATGATATCTGCACATAGTGGGCTCTTAAGGAAGTTGTAAGTGACCAGAGTGCTTGTCCAGGCGGGTCTTTGTCCCACTTGGCCTCTTGCCATTGTCCCCAGGAGACAAAATAGCATTTGAGTGCCAGACAACATTTCTCCTGCTTTCACTCTGTGAATATTCCCAGTCCCTGGAACTGACAGTCAACCAACTGATGGGTAACAGCCGTTCTCTCTTGCTGTCCTCCCATCCAAGTGACACTGCAAATGTATTGTCTCCAGGTCACCATGGCATCTAACAGGCAAGAGTCCTGCAGGAGACTATAAGGTATTGAATGATGTCATCTGAATACCTCATAGTCTGTGCAAAGGTTTTGATAGTAAAGTTTCATGGTGGGATATACAGCACACCAGAAAAATGATAGAGTTGGAAATAGGCCAGACAAGACAAGTTTCCAAACTATCTGGCAAGTGGAAGTTTAGTGCAGGGATTGGATCACTGATGTTTTATAGGAATACCAGGAACTCACCCTCACTTGTTGTAGACACCATACTCAGCTCTGAAATCCTCGCAGGAGAGAGGAGAATTGGGTGAACATGTCCTTGAGATTTCATTGCAGGTCCTGAAAAGTAAATATATATATATTATAGAGAGAGTTAGGAAAGAGAAAATGCCTTTTTTGGGGGCATTGGACGTTTCTCATAAAAATGTTCAGATACTAATTTAAAAATTGACAAAACATGTATGTAGATGTGAAAGCAGTGGGCATATACGCAGCCAAGTAAAATTATAGCACATATGCTCCCAGTATATGTTTTTATTTATGCACTCACTGCATGGTTATCTAAAAATGGGAAGTAAAATGGATGAGAGGTTTTTAGAAAACTCTTGCATGTGGGCACCAGGAGACATATATTCGAATATCTGTAATATTCAAAGCCATTGTTGGAAAGCACTCCATGTCCTTCAACAATAGAATGAATGAGTCAATTGTGCCACAGTCGTACCATGAAACCTAGCACAGTTACACGCAACAGTGTGGGCGAATCTCAGCTCAATGAACAAACCAAACTGCAGAAGCATAATACCGTGTCAATGTAGTTATGTGAAGTTCAAAAAGCACATAAAACCAAATGACGTCTTGCTTAGGGACTGAAGTTTATGTGGTAAACCTGTAAAAACATGGGAGGGACTGACCAGCACCACATTCTGGCTGATGAGTACCTCAGAGGAGAGGGAAGGGAAGGGAAGGG